TCAAGGATTTCTTTTGGCTAAGGGATTAAGAAAAGGATGCCCTCTCTTTCTTTTTCATTTTACCCTTAAATTGGATGTGTTTGGTAGGTTAGTTACAAAGGCTGACAATCATGGTTTGACTAGAGGATGGATGATTGAGACAGGGAAACAATGGTAACCCGCTTGTAGTTTCCAGATGATAATATTATTTTGTGAGGTTATGGGGGGGAAGTTAGGGCAAGAAATATGAAAGTCATAGTAAAGTGTTTTGAAAAGATTGCCAACCTGAAAGTTAATAAGAGTTGCACAGAAAGAATAAATTTGGAAGTGGAAGAACGGATAGGTACACATCAATCTTGGGGTGTATGAGAAGAATTCCGATTAGTTGAATGCACTAGCTGTGTAGCGGGATGTGGAATCAATGATAACGCTCCACACCAGTGATAAATTACATGGGGTCCACAGTAAAAGGTTGAATGGTTGTGCCCATGTATTTTATGACTGGTGTGGAGCGTTATTATTTGTTCCACACTTTCAGCTAAACCTATCTCATATGAGAATGGACTGGCCAATGAGGTACCTTGGGCTGCCCTTACCAGTTAATCCAAAATCTAGTGGGTTTTGGTATCCTGTTATTGATTGTTTCACAAAGAATTTTTTTTTTTGGAAGATAACGCGATATCACCTTAGGTGGAAAAATGAGCCCATAAAGTCAACCTTAGCAAACGTACTTGTTTTTCTTGTCTGTCTTTAAGATTCCATTGTTGTTGGTCAAAAGATTGGAGAAAAGCATGAGTGACTCTCTCTGTGAATCAGAACATGCTAAAGGGGGATCTCCTAATTAACTAGGCTATGGTGTATAAGAGGAAGGAGCTGGGAGGCTTGTGTCTAGGACTCTGGGTAAACTAAGAGTAAATAACATTGCTTTATTTGGTAAATGGCTTTGGAGGCTTCTTTTAGACTAGGATAAATTGTGACACAGGGTGAGGAGCATTTATTGTAGACATCCAAATGGCTAGGGCACTGGCTCTTTGGTGAGAATCGTGAGATTTATATTGGTTCCCCCTCCCCCCTGCAAAGCTATTCTTGTCAATCTTCTTTTTTGTCTCACATCAAGTATGACCTTTTCTCTAATGACAAGGTTAAGTTGTGGGAAGATATCTGGTGGGGTGATGCTTCCTTGAAAGATGTTTTCCTTTGTTTGTACCCCCTTTTTTTATGAGTAATAGTGAAGTTTTTTTAATTCAGAATCTGTTTTAGATTTTTCATCTTATACAACAATCCTTGGAGAGGCATGATCTGCAGCCTCTCCCAATAGATTACAAAGAAACTAGGAATAAAGTACAGAAATCACAGCGGAGCCCTAAGCAATTCTTCCATATTTGCCCCTTGCTTGGCTTACACATCAGCCAAAGCATTTGCTGATCTCCCACCCACTGTATAGAAACCAATATATTCCTTGTCAGCCAATTAAACTTCTTATTTTCATTCTTGTAGCACCATATAGTATCCTTGGAGTTTTTCAACCGGCTCACCACCACCTTGGAATCCCCTTCAATACTTATTTGCTCTACCCCCAATTGGTTTGCAAATTGCACCCCTTGTACAACAGCTAATAATTCTGCCCTTACAGAATCTTCGAATGCTTGAGGACCCGAGTAAAGCAGAACCTCTCCAAACTCATTTCTCAAAACCCCCCATTCTAGATAACCCTGGATTGCCCAAGCTATTCCCATCAAAATTCAGCTTCAGTGTACCTTCAGTGTACCTTCAGATGGGGGAAACCACCTTGTAACTACCCTATTCTTAATGGAAGAACACCCTGTTATTGCTGACCAGTTTCTCCAAAAGTTATTAAAGGAGAATTGGTGGAAAATTTCCAATGTCTTCAACCAATGTATTGCCTTAATCAACGCATGGTCCTTCAATTCCTTGCTGCTCTTTTCCTTCTTGAGAGATCCTAGCATCCCTTTCTTCCCATGATGTCCAAATAAAGGCTGCGCGAGCAGATCTCCAGCTATACTGAAACAATGAGAGTAGGCAAATCCATGACTCTGTAGAGAACAGACAAGATATTAGTAGATGGTAACAATCCTCCCCGTGAGCACTACAAAGGGTACACCAATTGGAAGAAATACGAAGGAAGGGTCTTCTCTTTTGTAAATTATCTAAAGTGTTTACTTTCCCATAGTACATTTCCCAACAAAAAGCCATAACCTATGGGGGGAACTCGCTTGCACCAAATTTCCTTTGAGGGAAAAACCTATTGAATAGAAGACTGAGAACTGGACTTAAAGTAAGAGGCACAAGTAAAAGTCCCTTTGGGCCTAGGAGCCAACATCCTTTTGTCTGGCTTGGAGGGATCCAAACAAACTTGACTAAGGAGGCATAGCAAATTAGATAGAGAGTCGATTTCAGCATCCCTTAGCCCCCTACAAAACCCAAAATCCCAATTTGGAGCCAAGGGTGTCCCCGAGGGTGAGATCCTTTAAAGGGCTATTTCCCACCCAAATGTCCTCCCAAAACCATATAGAATTACCCGAACAAACTTCATACTTGACAAACCTGAGAAATTGAGGAAGAGTGTTGTGAGTGGCCTTCCAAGGTGCTGCCGGATTAGCTCGCCTTTATACAACCTTGTCCCATCCATTCTCTTAGCTGCCATGAATGCTTCCCACCACTTCATGCCAAAATCTCTTGCCCTCCAACAGCCAATGCCACAACCATTTTCCCAACAATGCTAGATTTTTTTTGAACCATCCTCCCTATCCCCAAACCCCTCTCTTCTTTACTTCTACACAAAATTTCCCACTTAACCAAATGATCATTTTTTCCTTGTCTAAGTTCTCAAAGGAAATAGCTCATTAGCTTCTCCAGCTTCCTAGCTTCCCTAGGTGGTATCCTAAAATAGACAGACAAGAGGTAATTGGGTAAGTTCACCAATGTAGCTCTTATTAATGTGATCCTACCACCCAAAGAGATGTAATTCTTTTTCCATGAAGTTAATCTCTTCTCAAACTTTTCTAGCACTGGAGTTCAAAAACCTACTTTCCCTATATGATTTGCTCCTAACAAAGCCTTCCTTCTGTTTTAGTTCCTCCAATCCAGTACAAATCAGTTTCCAGATTCTATCCTCCTCACTTGTCCCCTTACTACTTCTACCACCTTCTCTCCAATCCAGTACAAATCTTTTTGGCTTCCCAGAAGTGGTTGGCTCTTTTTACTATAATTTTCCTTCCCATTTGAACTATCCAAACCCGGGTAGCTATGTAAGGCTTCTTCTTCCTCCTTCTCACCTCCCTCCATATGAGCCTCCTTCCACAACCATACTTCGATGGAGGAGGCTAGCCAAACAGACACAATACTCCCATCAGATCTTAGCTCTATATTTCGTGGGATATCTTCAGGCTTCACTCCACTTAGCAGAACCACCACAGAGTGAAGATCACCCTAGAAAGCTCCTTCTAAGCATCCTCCACACATCAAAGCTATAGACTCAGCCATTTATTGCTTCCACAGATGGAATGACAAGCCTATTACACACACCAAAACACCATCTTTGACAAAGAAGTCCTTGGAATTATATGTTGGATCCATTTAAATACTGTGAAGGATCCAGTCTCAGACTGAATATTGAGAGCAGATATTTCCACTTAATTTTCTACCAGGTCTAAGAGGGTTTTACATTTATCAAAGGGGGTTACTGTGAATAGCCCTTTCAACTTCCATCTTATGGAGTAAACAGCAACCCTCCTTCAATCACTAACCTGTTCCTTGGCTTGAATTACTATCTTACTGTCCCAATCTTCTCTCTTTGAATTAAAAATTTACTTGCTAATATCTGCACTTTTGCTGCTTGAATGTGTTCCATTTTTCCCTTTTTGGTTACATGTGCACTCCATTTGATGTGGTCAACGCCATTTAATCTACCCATCAAGGAGAGGAGGGAAGCTGCTTTGTTGATGCACAAGAGCAGCCTTGCATTGAACCATTTGGGAAGAAAGGAACGGAAGACTGTTTAGTGGCATGGAAAGGTCTAGAAGTGCTATTGCAGGAAACACCATATTAAAGTTGGCTTCTTGGGTCAAAGCAGTTAGGGACTTTGACTTTTTCTCCATTGATGATATTATTTGTGGCTGGTATTGGGTGGTGAATTCTGCAACATTAAGAACTCTTGCTGTCTCAAATTGGACACCACTAGAAAGGAATATGATAACTCTGAATTTTGATTGATGTAGTCAGGATTGGCAATCTGGGCCATCAAGTGTTGGTGGGACCTTTAGGGATTGTAATGGGTTCATACTGGTCATATGTGCAAGAAAAGTAAGAAGGCTTTAAACCATCCTTTCCTAATGTATCACATAACTACAGATATTTGTAGCTCCCTGCCCCCCACTTTCAAGGCAGCCCAGCAGATTTTCACATTATGGCCCCATGATTAAAGGTTGATCTTGTATGAGTATCTTTCTGGTGTATCATTGTAGTTGCAGTTTGTTGGGCGTGGGGTTGAAGGGAAGAATTGTAGGATCCTTGATGGGAGATAAGGGCCCTAAATGTTGTTTATTTGTCGCTCTGGGATCTCTTCTCCTTACTTGAGTTTTCTTTCTACTAGATTTTGAATTGGTGGACAGCCTATCTTTTGGGAGGGAGCTTTAGAATTTTTGAGGGTTGTGAATGATACTGTACAAATCTGGATTTTTTTAGATACTTTGTTCTCCTTTTATCCAAAAGGTATTTTCTTTAGCAGAATATTGGGTAATGCCTTTTTTCTCTGCTGAGCAACTGTATTTTTTTTGTCCTAGTATTTCTTTTTGATCTGTTATTTTTTTCTTGGTCTTTGTTTTTTGATCAGTTAATTTTTCGTCATTGTTCCTGAAGAAATTTTGAATGCCTTCTATTGAATATGTTTATAATTCGAACATACAATTCAATAAAATCTGTTGGGCAGATATTTTTGAACTTCTCTACTTTTCATATTCCAACTGCAGTAGGTGTGAAACAATTTTCCATGGCTCTGGCAGGAGTTATCAAATTCTAGAGTGTCAGCAAAATATTCTGGATGCAAGTTGGCCTCGGAGAGTTATGGGGATCTTCCAGTTGGTTACAGACCTGTTCGTGTTGATTGGAAAGATCTTGATAAATGCAGTGTCTGCCACATGGATGAGGTTGTAGCACAGTTCTTGGTGGTCTTTTACTTGTTTTCAATATTTGTCAGTTGCTTTACAAAAAACTGTTATTTTTTTGATAAATACAAAATAATTGTTATTTCTTTGCTTCCAGTGTACATCTTGATGTGTTTGTGTGCCTTTGTTTTAATGTTTGTTCTATTTTGGAGCTCATTTTTATGGACAGAATCGTGCTGATTAAATGTTTTTCTTTGCTCCTTCAGGAATATGAGAATAACTTGTTCCTGCAGTGTGATAAATGCCGAATGATGGTAAAATTCATGGCTTCTTTGACATGATTTTGATTTTTGAACTGACATATGCACCAAATGGGATATTCTACTGTTTCAGCGAATTGAAATATGAAATCTGTCATTGATCTAGTGTGTTTCATGATTTTATTTGTTTTCTTAGCTAAGTTGCTTTCTTTGTTCTTGCACAACAATGTTGTAGCTGCTTTATCTTTCTGGAGAATGGAATATCTATTTCAGTTTCTTATAATCTGTAAATAAATTTTTTCAGGTCCATGCTAGATGCTATGGTGAATTAGAACCTGTTGATGGTGTACTATGGTTATGCAACTTATGTCGGCCAGGGGCACCCAAATGTCCTCCACCATGTTGCCTTTGTCCTGTCATAGGTATTTGATCTCAAACACATTTATTCAGTTGTCAAGTGATCGTTTGTTGAGTCATTGGATCTGTACTTGGCTTTCTTCTAGGTGGTGCTATGAAGCCTACAACTGATGGACGCTGGGCACATCTGGCATGTGCTATGTGGATACCTGGTCTGTTGGCTTAAAATTTAAAATTTGGTGTTAATTTGTAATAATGGTCATATATATGGTTGGATGACTCATTCAATGTTCTGCAGAGACTTGCTTATCGGATATTAAGAGAATGGAACCCATTGATGGGCTGAACAGAATCAATAAGGTATCCCCTTGGTTATTTTTATTATGTTTGAGGCCCTCCTATTATCTTTGGTGATGCTTTTACTTTTTGGGGAATCTTAGGTCTTATGATAATCATTTTCATTCTTCACTATAAACTGTGAGAACCACAACATAAGACAATTCTTTCACTAATTCCTTTCTTTTGCCTCAAAAGTTAAATCCTTGTGTTTCCTGAACATAGGACCGCTGGAAGCTTTTATGTAGCATTTGTGGTGTTTCTTATGGTGCTTGCATTCAGGTAAGCTTTTAATTACTATACTTGCTATTATAACATTGACATGTTTTTGTTGCGATAGTATTTGAAGCCCCCTCATTGGTAATGCCATACTTTTCTATGATTATTACATTTGCTTATGTGGCAGGTTTTCTTACCTCCTTGTGATAAAGAAATTACTTTTCTAAATTTTTGTGGTCAATGTATATATTTTAAAAAGATGATATTGCAGAGTTTCTCATTGTTTCCAATTTAGTTGCACAATTAGTTTTGGTGAATTAGTCCCATTTTGTTCCCCTTCTAGAATTATTTTATGCATTGGTATGGAAGTAGATGAGGGAAACCATAAAAAACCATAAAATAAACTTTGATGGCCATAGTCTTGGCAATCCAGGGCCCTCCGGTATAGGGGGAGTCTTCAGAAATGAGAGGGGCAGATCGTGGCTTTTTTTTTTTTTTCTGGTCCTATTGGAGTAGGGAATTCTGTTAATGTGGTAAGTCCAAGCAGCTCCACAAGGAGTAGAAATTGCTAAAGAGTTGTATTTTCAACAATTGTTAATTGAAGGGGACTCAAAACTGGTAATCGGGTGGTTGCAAGAATCGGAGTGAGCAGCTCGGTCCTATGGGGGGCTTTGAGAAGGTTTAAATGGTTAACCACAAATGTAACAATTGGAATTCAATGGGAAAGCAACCCAAGAGCTGAATGGAAAGGGATGGGATTAAAATCCGGAATCAAGAAGTTGAACGCTTTGCAGTTCGGGAAGGTTGAAGAGAGGAAGCAATCTTTGATACACCAAATTGAGGAATTAGATAAAAAGGAGAGGGGTACCTCTGGGGAAAGAGAAAGAAACATTATGGCCCTTGAGGAAGCAACTAGAAGATGTTCTCTACAAGGAGGAAATAAGTTGGAGATAGAAGTCAAGGCATAAGTCGATTAAGGAGGGGGATAGAAATACAAAATTTTTGCATGCTTTGGCTGTTGGAAGGAAGAGGAGGAATGATATCTAAAGATTGGTAGTTGATGGTGTTTCCTTAACACATCAGAATGAGATAGCAGGGGCTCTTAAAGTACATTTTAGAACAATCTACAGAAGACCTTTGAGGGAAAGAGTTTGGCTTGAGGGGCTTGATCGGTTGAGGATCTTAGGTGAAGTGAAGATCTGGTTCGAGAGGAGATTTGAGCAAGGGGAAATTTGGGAGGCTATCTTCTCCATGCATAGATGCAAAGCTCTAGGACCTGATGGCTTCACAATGGCATTCTACCAAGATTGCTGGGACATTTTGGAAGATCTGTTGGGAGTGTTTGAAGAGATTTATGAAAGAGGAGTAATTAATCCAGACTTTAGCCTTTAATCCAACCTTCATTGCTTTGGTGCCAAAGAAAAGTGATGTAGCACATCCTCGTGATTTTAGACCCATTAACTTGGCGGCTAGTCTCTATAAAATTATAGCTAAGGTCTTATCTTTGAGGATTAGGGTTGCTCTCCTAATTGCTAATGAATATGTGGGGGATTTCAAAAGATTTGGGAAGGAAGGCTTTATTTGTAAGTTGGGTTTGGAGAAAGCTTATGTTGTGGTGGATTGGTCCTTTTTGTTTGGATGTTTTGAGGAAATTTTGGATTTGGGGAGAGATGGTGTAAATGGATAAGAGGATGTTTTAAGACCTGCCATTACTCCTTGTTGGTGAATGGAACTGTGGTGGACTTCTTCCCAACCTTAAGAGGGATTAGACAAGGAGGTCCCCTATCTCCCTTTCTTTTCACTCTAATTGTTGAGGTCCTCGGAATGCTTATTACTAGGGTGGATTCACATGAGTTGTTGTGGGGATGGAAGGTTGGTCGGGGTAGTGTTCCAATTACTCATTTGCAATTTGTAGACAATACTTTGCTTTTTTGTGAAGGAGTAAATATAAGCTGGGTTAGGAATCTCAAGTAGACAGTACAAATTTTTGAGCCAATTTCAAATCTCAAGGTGAACTTTGACAAGGGTTGCATTGTGGGTATTAATTTGGAAGAAGGGGAGATGTTGGAGTATGTAAATATCTTGGGATGTGGGGTGTCACAATGGCCACTGAAGTATTCAGGGCTTCCTTTGGGGGATAATTCAAGAAAGAGTAGTTTTTGGTACCCTATGGCAGAAAGATTTGTTAAGTGACTTGCATGTTGGAAGAACAGCTATTTGTCTTTACGGGGGGGGATCACATTGATAAGAGCTACTCCTGCCACTTTGCCTGTCTATTTTATGTTTGTCTTTATGCCGGTGAGTGTAAGTAAAAAAATGGAAAAGTTGATGAGGGACTTCTTTTGGGAACCAGGGGAGGAGAAAAAAGACCATAGAGTTTGCTGGAAAATGGTGAGTAGAAGCAAGAAGTTTGGTGGGTTGGGACTATGCAATTTACAAAAGAGGAATGCATCTTTGCTGGGAAAGGAGGTTTGGAGGTTTCCTATGGATAAGGACAAGCTTTGGCTAAGATAGTGATTGTCATTCATTGGGTAAAATCTACGAAGATGTTTGCTGATTTCTCAGCAGGTTATATTATGAACAAATGGAAGGAAGCGGCTAGTTCTGATTGCCACAAACCAAATATAAGCTCTGCTTGGTCTCCTCCAATGGTTGACTACATCAAGTTGAACTTTGATGGGAGTAATGCAGGGAATCCAGTTCCATCTGGTATTGGAGGGGTGTTTAGGGACAGTGAAGGTAAGACCATTGGTCTATATTCAGGCACAATTGAAATAAGTCACTCCCTAAGGGTTGAGGTTATTGCTGTCATGGAAGGATTGCAAAAGGCAAAAGATCTGAATGTGAGAATGCTGATTGTAGAAGGTGATTCAAAGCTGGTATTGGAGTGGTTGCATAAGGAAGATAAAGGTTTCTGGACTTTCAATAATGAAAAAAAAGAGATTCAAGTGGATGACTCAAGATATGGAAGTGCAGTTCAGTTGGGTTAAAAGGGCAGTAAATGGTCTTGCTGATGTCTTAGCAAAACAAGGGGTGGGGAGGAACCACTTGTTTTGGGCTCAATTGTAACTGTTATTGATAAAAAAAGGAGATCTGCAAATGGGTTATTTGATTGTCGAGCTAAGCAAGGGGTGCATAACAATCAGTTATTTTGGGGTCATATGTAATTCTTATTTTGTTTTATGCTGCATCTCTCACCTTTTTGTGGGAAGCAGTCATGTTGTACTCTTATTATTGTTCTTTAATAAAATTTCTATTACCTATAAAAAAAATAATGAAACTATAAAATAGGGTCAAACAGTGCAAAATATGTGACATCATAAAAAATTCTTGTAAAGATCCTTATTATTAAAAAGGGATCTTCAGTCAGATATGTGGGCAGTATTAGAGTCTGATTTGGGAAGAGTGAATGCTGTTTCTGGGTTGTTTTGCATTTGAAAAATGAACGTTGTTTCTGAGTTGTTTTTTCTTAAGATAGAGAGAAATCCCCATTTGTAAGTTTGTGCTGTAAGTAGGTTTCAGGTACACCATCCATATTTCATTTACAGTTTTCATCCATAAATAATTTCTGGTAATATGTGGCTGTGTAGAGTTTATCGGCGATCAGCCACAACATTACCATATAATTCTTGTGTTCATATTAGGTATGAGGGTGCAGGGCATCAAGTTCCATTACACTCCCTGTGATGGAAACCAATTTTCCTCTTCCACCAATGCTAATCCTCATAAATTCAGCCCATTCTAAATAATTTGTTTCCATGTAAGCCTAAGTGTAGTGATAATACTCGTATTTTTGAGGTCTCCAGTACCTTCCAGCAAGGTCTCGAACTCCAACTTGTTCTTCTGAGCACTTCTAATAGGATCCATCTCTTTCAATTCACAAAGATGGCTTCAAAAGTTCAAATGATGTCAAAGAACAATATTGGAGTGAATTCTTGATCTACAGTGAAAAACCTAGCGGAGGAATGGATATACATTGCAAGAGAGGGAAGATCTTTTCAGAAACAGGTAAGAAATAAAAAAATTCAAATCCTTTGGGAGCACCAAATCCTGACTGGAAATCCAATTCTTTTCAGTTGATCTTGTGGTTTTGTCCTCAGAAAGACACATGGAAATATATAAAAGAAAGGCAAATTCCTTTTGGCCCATCTCTTACCATTAAACCATAGTGACCGACATAGGCACTTCTAGATGCAATGTATAAATGTGTCAATAAAACAAGAATAAAAGAAATATTTAAAGACTAAGATACTTGAACATGCAATAAATATGATATTACCATTGGACACCCAAAATATATTATTTCTCTGTTGCAGTTTTCTTGCACTAACAGAAAATCCCAGATGTTCTAGCAACGCCTAGGGCTGACCATGTTAATTGAATTGATCAAGGGGTTTACGTCCGACCTTCCACTTTTATTTAGTTCATCTACCAAGGTTCCTTTCACTTGCTGACTATGCTGAGTGAGGCCAAACCTTGTTTCCAGCAATCTTTCTTCATTTGTAGATCAATTGGCTTCCTTAGAAGTTAGAAGAATCCACCTTCAAGTTAAGGATTATCCTTGTCCAACCTTGAACAAGTTGTTGCATCATATATATATATATTTTATCAGCAATTGGTAATGATTTCATTGATGATGGAACAATATGAAAGTGATCATCGAGCCTTTAGGAAATTCCTCATCTGGGAGAATGCTGGAGATACCTTAGAATGACGATGGTCTAATCTGGAGCATAGTTTTCAAGGTGCCAAGGCGAGGCTAGGCGACTGGGGGGCGCCTAGTCACCTAGGCGATGAATTTTTTTATGTTAAAAAATAGATCCTAGGGTAGTTCCCTAGGTACCATAACCATATTTCTTTAATAATTATTCATGGTTTTCATAAGAAAAGTATAAATTTCATATTAAAGTATAGAAAATCAACATATTCATGAGAAGAAAARGAAGAAGGAAAATAAAATTCAAAAAATATAGGGGCTGAACCCTTATTTTTGTTATAGGAAAAGAAGAAAATAAAAAGTATTGGAAGAGGAAGAAGAAGAAGAAGTAGTAGAAGAAGAATATATGGAAGAGGAAAATGTGCTGATTAGATAAAATTTTTAGTTCTTCCTTATTGGTTCAGGTTTTTAAGTCTTTGAGGGTTCAATACAGCATTTAGCAATGTTTGTGTTGATTAAACCCTAATAAATAAGAAATTAGTATATAGACACACAAAATGATTATTTTAGTTTAATAATATCTATTTTATAATTATAATCTCAAAAAAGAATGAATAAAAAAGTATTTTAAAGTAGGAAGTAGAAAACTGTTAGGCGATTGGGCGAGGTGAGCCTCAAAGGGTGCCTTGTTGCCTAGGCGTCGCCTTGACAACTATGATCCGGATGGTGAGTACATAAACTGGAATGCTAAGTGCTGAAAAGGGGAAAGAGATGATGCTCATCACAGTGTAATCTTGAGTTGAGTAATAGTCAGATGAACAGGTTTACCTCCTAATCTTGCTTTAACTGTAAGATTGTCAGCTTCCCTTGATCCACCTCTACTTTGGTTTTCACCCACTGGAGTATTGATACTGAATTAGAACTAGACAATGATATATGATCAAATGGGGAAGAAATATCTTCAGGATTGGAGGCAAAGCTGAATTTAGAGACCACTTCTGGTTCTTGGCCTTCAATTAGGTCATTGATAATCATAATTTTCATTGTTGAGTGACTACTTTTAGTAGTGCTTATGAGTCATTTGAGGCATGGTTCAAAGTATTGATACAGTGATACTCTGGATATGCAACAATTGTGTATCCGGAGTTTTCAAGATTTGATGCAGTTTTTTAATTTTTTTACTAGGATATGTTAACAGATGGATATATTAGGATGTTTAATAATGTTTTAAATCTATGATTTGAGGCATAAGCTTCCGGATCCTCCCTGGAGGTAAGGCATACCCGTTGTGCAAGTAAGTATTGGATGTGTGACATGCTTATGAGTGTGTGTAGTGGAAGTAGACCTCAACTGGGTCTCTTTTGTTTGATGCCTTTAGAGAGTTGCCTGAGCTTCATGCTCATATCAAATGGCTCTAAGAGCAATAAGAAATTTTAATAAACATGTTAAATAGTGATTGCTTCTCTTTCTTTCTTTTCCTTTTCCCTGTCATGCTTTTAATCTTCCTAGTCCAATGAGGTCATGTAATTTTATCTTGTTTTGACATAAAATAAAAAAATTCGTATATTTATTTATATTGATTATGTATTGCCATAGTTAGCTGATCCCATGTAAGTTTGAACAAGGCTTAGTTTAGTTGTATGTATTGCAGTCTTGCTCATGGGACTTTGGCATGGCAAGGCAAATGCTTCACCTCATGTCTTGCATTTTAGAAGTATTTGTTTTTAATGAAATGTATGTACTCCCTGGGTTTTAATGGAATACCTCCTCTGCTTTGTTTTTTAAAATGTTGTTTAGTTAATGTCACTTGTTCATTAGATGCCTGTGAAGAATGCACCAACTGATTAATAAATTTCTTTAAATTATCAAAAAAAAAAAAAGAATGCACCAACTGATTGGTATCTCTATTGAACTGATCGATAGATCAGTAATGCCACTACTTTACTGACCTTCAGATCAGTTGGTATGCCTATGAACTTTCACTGAGTGTGCTAATATATGTTTATCTGTATTCCATAATGAAATGCATGTTATACAAGTGCTTGCGAGTGCTTGGATTCATGCTTATTCTATAGATTCCTATCTCTGTATCCTATTATTTTAGCTTATATGTCTTGCTAGTCTGATTTATTTGTTATTTCATTTCCCTTTGACAATGAATTTACAATGGGCAACTTGCGTACAGTGTTCAAACAGTACTTGTCGTGTAGCATATCATCCTCTTTGTGCACGTGCTGCTGGTCTTTGTGTTGAGGTATCTCCTTGTCCTCTTTGCACCTCTTCTGTCTTTGAGATATCTGCGTTCTGTTGTCTGTTTTTTATTCCTTTCTCATATATTTCTCCCTCTCTTCACTTTTATGTAGTGGCTTTTTTACTTCATCTGTGATTTTATGACTCATGTATCATTATGTGTTTCATCTTTAGTTATCGATTTATTTATTAGTAATATATTTATTTTTAGCTTGAGGATGAGGACAGACTCCATCTAATGTCTATGGATGAAGATGATGATGATCAGTGCATTCGTCTGCTTTCCTTCTGCAAAAGGCACAGACAGCCATCCAATGAACGCTCACCTGGAGATGAGCAAATAGGGCCAATTGCCCGATGCTGTTCAGACTACATTCCTCCATCTAATCCATCTGGTTGTGCTCGTAGTGGTAAGCAATTGCATTTTCATTTCTTTCCTCCTATTGATGTAATATGGCTAAGCAAGCAATTACTCTACTTTTTATTCACCATCTACCATGATGTTATTTTTTAAATTCTAACTTAACACATTTTTTTGGGTAATTTCTCTTGCATTTATTAATCATAATAATTGGTTCTAGCAATGACAACTTGATATCTGGCCGGGATGCATGGATGGTTTATGCATTACCATCACCTATTTCTTTTGTTTAACTATTCTATATTATGTTTTACATCTTTATTTTGTATTGTTGATCAGAACCTTACGATTTTTTTGGGAGGAGGGGACGGAAAGAGCCTGAAGTCCTTGCTGCTGCATCCTTGAAGCGGTTATATGTAGAGAATAGGCCATACTTGATTAGTGGCTATTGCCAAAATGGTTCTTTGGGAAATGTGCCCTCTTCCAGTGAACCTGTGGTCTCAAGATTATCTTCTAGTTTTCAAAAGTTGAAAACTTCTGAACTTGAGACTGCAAAGAATATACTTTCTATGGCCGAGAAGTACAAACACATGAAGGAAACTTTCAAAAAGAGACTAGCATTTGGTGAGCATTCATATCTTATTGCTTATGTAGTTGAAATTTAAAATCTGCAATTTCTATTTGTGCTTTTCTGTGTGTGCTTTGACATGCTAAAACCAAACCCCTCTCTTCCTTGGTCAACCATGAAATTACTAATTGAAGATCCATCAAAGTTTCTGTTTATATTCCCTTCTGCTGGAGGTATACAAGCTTGGATTTGTGTGCGTGTGTTGGGGGGGGGGGTATGAACCAGCCACAGCCTACCATTCCCTATGAACAAGTTCATTATTACTCCTTTAGATTCCTAGAAACAAAATTAAGGGGTGGGATGAGGAAGGGGGAGAAGCGGAGGGACTGGACAAAATTGAGTGAACTCGGGGTTGGTGGGAAGACGGGGAGAGGGGGAGGAAGATGAGGTTTCTAGCTGGATTGTGAGGGGTTTGAGAGAAGGTAGGAGGAAGCAGAATAGGTGGAGCATTGAATTTTTGATTGCAGGAATGGGCATTTTGATGGCAGTTTGGGATCTCTGTCTTCCTGAGTTTGTTCAAGTGAATGAGTCTGATCTGTTTGAGAATTTCTGGAGGCCTTTGGAGTTGAATCCTTGTAATTTGATTCTTTTCAGTGTCATTTCTGTTTTGTAGTTGGTTTGTCAACTAGACAACCATCTTCTTGAGATGTTCGGACTTTTTTCAGTTTAATGAATTTTCCTTTGACCTTTCAAAAAAAAATTATTATTCCTTTAGATTCCTCTTTTGTTGAAATTTGATAAGTCATTCTTACTGCTAGAGGCCAATCAAATTACTAACTTCCCTTTTCTATTTTGTATTTAGTGGTATAAAATTTGAAGGAAGATACCTCCATTTTAATGTCAGTGTAATAGTGTTTTTTTCAATAGTGTAATAGAGTTTTTGATAGTAAATAAAAATAACTAAGAAAAAAAAAAGAAATGGACTGCAATAGCCTCATTATAAGATATCGGCTAAGAAAAGGGAAAGATGAGTCCCTTCATCTACACCCAAACAGAAAAATAATCCACTCATTCAACCTCAACAATTCAATTGGAGAAACCATAACAAGAAAGCTATGACCATGGCTGGACGCCACAAACCAAAAACCTAGACCCTCCCAATTCATCTGCTAACATAGTTTTCAAGGTGACAAGGTGAAGCTAGGCGACAAGAGAGCACCTTGTCACCTAGTGGCCTAGGTGGGTGCCTAGGCAATGTTTTTTTTTTTTTAATTATAAATCCTAGGATAATTCCCTAGGTTTTGTAGTAATAAGTAGTAATCTTTAACTAAAAATTACCATAATCCTCCTGATGTATAAATCGCATATTTAAGAGAAGAAAAATAAGAGGAAAGAAAATGTACAAACATAAGGGCTGAGTACTTATCAAAAAAAAAAGAATAAACATAAGGGCTGAGTCCTTGTTTTAATCCTAGGAAGAAGTGCTATTGATTGTTCATGTGTGTCAATTGGATAAAATCTTGTAGTTATTTCTTATCAATTCAGATTTTAAGGTCTTAAAAGGGTTCAGGACTATGTCATTGACTTGTGTGCCGATTGAACCAAACAGCTAAGAAAATAATAAAAAGAAACTAGTATAAGAATAATAATATTAATACTATAAACCCACAAAAAAATTGTACTACTATTAATCTTTGTCAAAAAAATTGTACTACTATTAATATCATAAAATAAAAATATAAAAATATTATGTGGTGCCTTACTGGTGATTTAAATGGCGTGCTTGGGTGCTTAGGTGAGGCACATTTTAATGTATGTGCCTTGCCTAGGCCCCATGCAATGCACTTTCAAAAGGTGCATGCCTGGTGCGCCTTGCGCTTCAGCCTAGGCATGCACCTTTTTTATGTTTTGCACTTTTGTTCTTTTTTGAACCTAGAGGCTGGGCTGGGGGCCTAGACCCCCAGCCAAACTCTCGAAACTCCGAGAACCTCCTATTTTCTAATGTTTGCCTTGAGGGGCTTGATACAAAAGCAGCTCGTAGAATCAAGAATGCAAGATGTTTTATATCACGTTAGCTATTTGAAATAATGCAATTGAGGAAAAAAAACAATTTGTGTGGTTTACATGCTTGAAAATGCTTCATATGTTTGTTTTTTTTTTAGATTTTCATTTGAATACGCTTTACAAGTTATGTTTATTTATTTTAATTTTAGATAATAGGTTTTTTAAAATATTTATTTAAAACTTTAAGGCTATATTTTTTTTTAATATTATGTTTAATATATTTTTAAAATTTTGTTGCTTTTTTTATTATTTTTTTCAATGTTTTGGAATTTTGGTATTTTGTGCCTTGCTTTGAAAAGGTGCCCGCCTCACCTTGCTCCTTGTGCCTCGGGCAGAAATTGCCCCTTGCGCTTTTAAAACACTGTCTTACATATAAATACGTAGGCCTTTGGGCAAGGCTACCCTCCAAAAGCACCTTTTCGCCTAGTGCTACCTTGACAACTATGTCTGCTAATACATCCTTTACCTCTTCACTGCAAAAACTCACTTTATAATCTTAAACACCCCTCTTCTACATATGCGATCTCCACCTCTGTGTTTGTTTATTTGAGGAAATATGGGTAGCTATATTTTCTTCACCTGAAATGACCCAAGCAACTTTTGGTTACTAGTTTTAAACATGTCAGATGGTCCTACTGAGACCTGAGACCTGTTGAGTCTCTCTGGGTGAAAGCATTAGGTCTAATTTTCTTCTGACAAAACACAAAGGGAGAGCAATTCCATTTTCTATAAACAGGGCATGCCCCCCTAATCATGAGATACGAAATACATGCTAAAGAAAAAAAAGGAAGAAAAGGCAGTAATACTCCATGTTTTGACTTTTACAAATAATGATTTCTTTGTCTTTTAACTAGCAACGTGGTGTGCCAAGATTATCAGTCAAAACAAAACCCTCATTCAAGAGGGCTTCTCCTTCAGACACATGGCTAGCCTCCTATTCAGAAAAATTGGTAAATAAATTTTAGTGGTGATTAAAAGGTTACCTCATATCCATTGTAACAATTCAAATTTAATGTAGTTTCCGAACTCAAATGAAAGGCCCAACACGAAGGCTTTCAGTATTGATATGGGACTCATTCTTTTAGATAAAGTGACAGATAAAATTTAATTTAATCTCCTAAATCAAATAGAAAATATTACCTAAAGTTACCACATTGATAGTGGGTCCAAAACAAAATATGTAAAATGGTTGTCCCTTACTCATTACAGGGTGGCCATGAGTTGGTTTTATTGATAGCTGTTCTATGTCAGATGAGGTGCATTGTGTTAAGTTCCTTCCAACTCTACTTATTATTTTGAATGTAAGATGATATCATGATTTCTTCTTAAGTACTATATCCAATGTATTGAAGGTCATTAAATATAAAAAATGTAACCGAGGTCATTTCATGGCATGTGACATTTTCCATATTCATCTATCTTAGCTTGTCAAATTTGTAAGCTTTAATTATCAATGTGCATAGGGAAATCTGGAATCCATGGGTTTGGGATTTTTGCGAAGCAGCCACATAGAGCAGGGGACATGGTAAACTGGTTTGATCGTTTACATTTTATTTGTTTTTTTTTTTGTTTCATATGCTTCAGATTGCAACTATTCATATACCTATATTTTTATACGTTGTAGGTGGTTGAATATACAGGCGAGCTTGTTAGGCCCCCTATTGCAGACAGAAGGGAACATTTATTTTACAATTCATTAGTGGTAAGTTGTAATGCCCCTTTGTGATAAATACTTTTAAGGCAGTACTTGGTTCAAGGTCTAGAAATTTAAATGAAAAACAACAGGTCTCCAGATTCCATGCAAGAGGAGGATTCCAATTGGTTACTTCCCAAGGGATTTAGAATTCTACTCGAGAGAATTGCAAAATTATTACTTTAAAGATTTCAAATCTGCCAAATTCTTGTAATTTTTGCTTTAAAATGCAGCAATTTCTGGGTTCCATTCTCATCTAATAACTGCAAGTAAAGGAAATGGAATCTTTTTTTTTTTTTTTTATAATTAACAGTATAAATTTCATTGAAAATGCAGCAAGGATAAAAGTACAACCCTGGTTCAAGGTTCAAAATTTTGTCCTTTATCGGTGACCCACTGATACACAAAATTAGTGTTTTGGGATTTTGACCCTTTTTTTCAAAAAAAAAAACAAAAAAAGAAATGGGTGGCCGCAAAGTTCAAAATACCGATACACTCCTTGTGCTGTATCGGGGTGTATCAAAAACTTGAACCTTGCTTTGGTTGTCCCAAGGGGAGACATACAGGTAGAAATAAATCAGAAACTATTGCAAATTACACCTTCTGTATTACAGATTGCAAGCTAGTCCTGGGCAACCCCAGACTAAACAATCCTTCCGAACCCCAGCCTTAGCCAAAGTATCAGCCAGCATGTTGGCACTCCTAGGCACTCACTTGAATGTGTTAAAGGCAGCACCTAGAGATTGAATCAACATGACAAGTGTTCTGAGTTTCCTCGGGAATTGATCTTGACTTCTCATCCATCTCAACACTGTTTGACAGTAAGCCTCTACTTCCATGTTGTTTATCTGTTGAAAACATTCTGTTTCTGAACCTGGTGCCAAAAACTCCCAACCTAAACACAGATTTATATTCTTGAAAGCAATCTTTGAGTCATTTTATGACCTCTATATTTTCCTTGAAAAAAAATTACAATGCCAATGATGGAATAATGCACATGAATGGGCAAGGAAGACAGGTGACAATCCTCAAAAGAGCTACATAAATACACCATTTTTTTTTCTTAAACCACCAGAGTGTACCAAGGATGAAGCAGCTTTCCTAGATTGCAAGGAACACAATCCAAAGGGCCTAGATTAACAATCAGAAGAAGCTAGATAAATGAAGTTGACCAAGAATGCCTTGCCAACTTTTGGAACATGAGGTATGCATACCTGAGTGAGGAAGGGAAATGGATGCTGATAGTAGATCTTCCATCTGTACAATATATACTTTAGAGCCTCAAACTCCTAATGGGAATCAATTGTAATTAAGAAACTGAGTGTGACTATATTGATATACTTGAATGGATCTGTGGATGTACTTAAATTTTGCAGAGTGGAAGTTCTAGTTGAAATTGAATAGATAGTACTATCAGCATCATATGGTCTTGGTGAATTGAACTTGGCTGCATGGCAAACTAAGGCAAAGTTTGGATAAGCTTTTCTAAATTTAAAGTACTAGTGCATTTTTAAAGTAAAGCTCAGTTAAAAGCACTTATTGCATTTGGATAAGCATGCTTTCAAACGTAAGATAGTAATAAATATAAATTTGGGTCTAGTTGGTCATGTGTGTCTCACATGACTCTTCTTTTTCATTTCTTTGACTATTCTCTTGCTCATCAGGCCCGTAACTGCACGACAAACTTGTGGATGCCATGTCACATAGTTGCACCCTATGTGGCATACATAGATGCCGCATGCAACCTCGTAAGTGATGTGGCATATTGAGTGTACAAAAATGATGCCATATGTGTCATGTGGCATATTTGATGCAGGCATGTGTAAGGAGTCAAGTTCCATTTAGGCTCTTGTTCTGCTTTTTTAAGGTAGATCTATAAGGATATGGTTGCCACTATGGATGGCTTATCCATATCAGGACTCGGGGGTTAACTAGAAAAAAAAGTATAGGGTGCTCATTGCAATATGTAGCTTCTATACCTGCATACTTGTATGGTTTTTTGCTTGTTTGATTTTTGATCTAATGCCTGTCTTGTACGTCTTACTTTTGTAATTTGTCCATACAATACCACTCAAAAGGTAAATGAAAAGAGAAAAGGAGAAGAAATTGGAGCAGCTATTATGCATGGAATTTAAATACTTATAAACTTTCCGTTTTAAATGTTTTGTCCAGTGAATCCGTTGATTAAAAGCTATGAGCTTTAACTGGTATAATTAAACCCTTTTTGGGCCTACATTTTGTTATAGAAAAAAATGTAAAACACATCAAAACTAGTTGCTTACTGGCTCTTTTCTTATACAGGGTGCTGGGACATACATGTTCCGGATAGATGATGAGCGTGTCATTGATGCTACTAGAGCTGGGAGCATAGCTCATTTAATCAACCATTCATGTGAGGTATATATGACATGCAAAATCTTGTTGCTTAGTTATTTATTATTGTAGAGAAGATGGGCCGAATGGCCCATAGGCTGTTTATCCTTTTTTATCTTCTTATGTTATGTCTTTTTAATTTTCTACCCAACTAGAGGCTTCTCTGTAAATTACTAAAGTTTAACTTAATGAAATAGAATTAAGGGAGTAAGAGAAGAGATTATGTTCGAAAATCTCTTTCTCTGAACCCAAGGTGCTGCCACCTTCTTCTTCTCTCCTCTTGAACTCTGGTTTCTGCTACTTTCTTTTGAAATTTTGCAACTTTCTAAACAGTCCTTTCTTCTCAAAAGGCTGTGTATGGAGAACTGAATCGTATGAATAGTTGAAGAAACCTATTTCAGCTCAGTTGTTAGTGGTTTCTGGAGAGAAGGGGACTAGTTTTGTCGTCCTCTTGACAGATTCAAGTGTGTTGCCCAAAACCCTAATTTTCTAGAGAAATCTAATTGCGGGCCCCACAGGGAGTTTGACCTGGGCGCTCAGTGACTGAAGGCCTTGTCATTCTTCTTCTTGAAGATGGAATCAAGTGGATTGGTGTTCTGTGAAGTCTACAAGGAGCGGCTGAGTTTTCTCTATTTCTCCCAGCTTCCGGGTGTGACGCAGGTTATTGGTACGGTTGCGTAGAGGTTGACTCACAACACAGTTTTTGTTTTGTCTTCATTTGTTGTTATTCGAAGTTGTTTGAAGTCATTTTTGATGTATTTAAGAAGATGAACTCCTCAGACTTTGAAAACAAGCATGTTGCTGAATCCGGACAATTTCCGGGAGCCTCTGTAGACTCTCTACTGGCTGTGACCACAATCAAGTTGGATGGAATTGATTATCTGGCTTGGTTACAATCAGTAAAAATTCATATTTATAGTAAAGGCAAATGGGGTTTTATCTCTCGGATCCAAAAGGCTCCTTCGGAAGATGATCCATCATATGAAAAGGGGATGCAAGAAAATTATACTGTTATTGGGTGGCTTGTGAACTCAATGCAACCACTGATTAGTCAGCACTATTTGTGGATGAATTCAGCCAATGAAATTTGGGATAGTGTTGCTTAAACATATTCCCAAAAATTAAATGTGGCCAGGGTTTACAAGTTGAGAAGTGATGTGAAGAATTTGAGACAGGGTGGGGAACCATTAGCTGTATACTTCTCAACACTGAAGTCTTTATGGCAAGAAATAGATTTGATAGAAGCTGTAGCATGGGACACCACTAAGGATGCTGAGACCTACAAAAAACTGGTTGAGAGAAACAGGGTGTTTGAGTTCTTGTGTCAAGACTGTTGGAACAGACCAACAGAAGGCAGTTAATCAGTTTTACAAGAGGAGGCCACATTAGCACAACTAACCATCCACTTGTAACAATTGTAACAATCAAGATTGTAACACTATATGTAGTAGAGCAGAAAAGGAATAGGAGATTGACTCTTTCAGCATTAAAACTCTCCCCCCCTCTCTCTCTTTCTCTCTCCTTCCAAGAATTCAGGAGGTTGGCCCTTCGAAGAGTCCTGGGTTAGGCAGGTTCCTAACAATTTGGTATCAGAGCCAGCTTGACCAACACAAGAAACACGTCAGTAGACATCCGAGTGGATCAGATCGAGGTCGAGATCCATCGAATGTCTTCAGATCCCAAAGAAATGAACGAAGGCTTCACTGCTCTCCTCCTTCGACAGGGGCGGCAACAAGAATAGCCAAAATCGACTTCCCCATCTTCTCAGGCTGCGGCCCAACTCCCTGGATTCTGAGAGCCGAAAGGTATTTCGATTACCATGAAACATTGGAGCAAGATAGGGTAGCTCTGGCTTCTGCGCATCTTGAAGGGGAAGCCATCCTCTGGTTTCAATGGTACCGAAGGGGGCACCCTCGTCAAACCTGGACAAACTTCACAGACGCCATGACTGTCCGTTTTGGATCATCTGGGTTCGAAGATCTTGATGAAAATTTGGCAAAGTTGTGGCAGGTGGGATCAGTAAAGGAATACCAAATGGAGTTCGAAAGGCTGGCTGTGAGAGTCCAAGGGTGGACGGAGAAGGCATTGATGGGAAGCTTTGTCGGCGGCCTAAAAGAAGAACTGCGAATGGAAGTGAAAGCGATGCAGCCCACTTCGGTCATCAATGCGGTAGCACTAGCAAGATTGTACGAGGACAAGTTCAGTCGAGCAAGAAAGGTGCAGCGACCATGGGGTCCAGGAGCAAGAAGGGAGCAAGAAAGGACGACAACACCAAACAAGGAGGAAGGAGTATTGGGCCTAGGCCCACTGGTTCCTTTCAAACGGCTGACCTGGGCAGAGATGCAAGCACGTAGAGACAAAGGTCTCTGTTACAACTGCGAAGAGAAATTTGGGCCGGACCATCACTGCAAGAAACAACAAGCGTTTCTCCTCCAAACAGATGCTGATGAGGAAGACGACATCACCAGTTGCGGAGAATCTAACCCAAGGTGGGAAATACAATCCAATGGCACGCCTGAAATATCCTTAGGGTCATCAGTTTGCGGTGGACCTATATCCTCTCCATCTCAGTGGAGCAGACGTGGTGCTAGGCATTCAATGGTTAAGACAGCTAGGACCCGTGGTCTGTGACTGGGCCCGTCTCACCATGGACTTCACATCAGGAAACTCTACAGTCCATCTACAGGGGCAAACATGCAAGGGCCCTAGGTCCATCAGTCTTGCAACACTGACAAAGCAAAGAGGAGATCCAGATCAGTCCATATTCATGCACGTGGACTCAAATTGGACCAGGCCATCCTTAGCTAACAACAGCTCAGATGGGCCTAGAGACTTCCAAAGCCGCCTACAACAACTCCTTCAGCACTATGGCAACGTGTTCAAAGAACCCCAAGGACTGCCGCCACGCCGGAAGCATGACCACCGCATTCCCGTCATGCCGGGATCAGCCCCGGCCAATATAAGACCCTACGATGCCCTTACTTTTAAAAATTTGAAATCGAGAAGCAAGTTCAAGATATGCTTAAGCAAGGGATAATATAGCCTAGTCACAACCCATTCTCTTCACCGGTACTATTAGTCATGAAAAAAGATGGGACGTGGTGGTTCTGTATTGATTATAGAGCCCTTAACAACATCACCATTAAAGACCGATTTCCGATACCAGTCATTGATGAGCTGCTTGATGAACTCAGTCAAGCCACCATATTCTCAAAACTGGATTTACGAGCTGGGTATCATCAAATAAGGGTACATAACGAGGATGTTCACAAAACAACTTTCAGGACACATGATGGCCACTATGAGTTCTGGGTCATGCCATTTGGGCTAACCAATTCTCCAGCCACATTTCCAGAATTGATGAATGACATATTCCGGCCATATTTACGTAAGTTCATCCTTGTTTTCTTTGATGACATATTGGTCTATAGCCCCAATTGGTAGGAACATCTGAACCATCTACAGGTCACCCTTGCAACACTTGAGGCCCACCAGTTGTTCGCTAAAGAGTCCAAGTGCTCCTTTGGACAAAATCAAGTTCACTACTTAGGACATGTAGAAAAGGGGACTGTAGCGGCTGACCCAGATAAAATCTCCAGTATACTGGGCTGGCCGCAGCCCAAATGTGTGAAAGAATTGAGGGCCTTCTTGGGCCTGTCTAGGTACTATCGCCGCTTCATCAAAAACTACGGCCTAATAGCTACCCCATTGACCCAATTGCTGAAACAAGACGCTTTTAACTGGTCAAGCCAGGCCCAACAAGCTTTTGAGCAACTGAAACAGACAGTTGCGAGCCCTCCAACATTAGCACTGCCCAATTTCACAAAATATTTCATCATTGAGTGTGATGCCTCCGGTCAAGGCGTTGGGGCTGTTCTCATGCAAGAAGGGCGACCACTAGCCTTTTTCAGCAAGGTCTTAACATCACAAAAGTGGGCCAAATCAGTTTATGAGCGAGAATTAATAGCAATAGTCTTAGCAGTCCAACGTTGGCGATCCTACTTGATCGGTAGACGGTTCACAATTCGGACCGACCATCAAAGTCTGAAGTTCTTATTGGATCAATCGGTTCTATCCCCGGAACAACAATACTGG